TTACTATTATTGTTGTTGCTGTTGTTGTTGATTTCATTTATGAAGTCTGCCAAGTAATAGTGAGAGATGCCAATAAACTTTAAGCCCTTAAACCAAATACAGAGTGAGATTTCATGGACAAATGTGCATATTACAAATGGGAAAGGCAGAATGAGCCGTGCCAAATATCTAACAAGTTCAGCTCCGCTTCCTTCTTTCTCTTACAACTCCTAGATCTCACTTGCATCCTAGAGGGCGGGGGCAAGAGAGGGTGGGCGGCTGCCCCATCCAGTCCCAGCCCGCCGGGCCAGGCGCCCTTCGGTGCATCTCCTCAAGAGCAAATCCTTCGGGGTTCAACTGCGTGTGTGCATGCGCGCGCGCGCACCCCTCGTTGCAGACAGGGGCAAGCAAAGGTGGAGCTGGATTACGCGGATTCGCGCCCTACGTTTCCGCGCATGCCTTTCTCCACAGGGATCCATCCATCCTTGGATCTCCAACGTGTTGGGTCAACGCAGGCTGGTGGTTTCCTTCTTTTGACAGGGTTACTCCGTTTACGCGAGTCCAGGTAGAAGTCCCGACTTCGCGCCCGAGGAGGTGAGGCCGCCTCTCTGACGGAGGCGCCGAGCCTGCTCTCAGAGGGCTCCCGTCGCCCGCGGAAGCCGCGTCCCGCTCAAGGGCCGCTCCGCCGCCGCCTTCAGACGACTCCCGGCGTTTAGGCTCCGGGCAAAAGCTTCCCCTCCTGCAGCAGAGCTAGGCGGGGCGGCCCCCGCGGCGCGGGGCCCCGGACGCCCCTCCTTCGGCTATCGCGCGCCGGGCCCCGCCCGCGGGGGCCGCCCCGCCTAGCTCTGCTGCAGGAGGGGAAGCTTTTGCCCGGAGCCTAAACGCGGGGAGTCGTCGGAGGGCGGCGGCGGACCGGCCCTGGAGCGGGACGCGGCTTCCGCGGGCGACGGGAGCCCTCTGAGAGCAGGCTCCCCCCCGCCCCCCCAGCCTGGCGGGCGGCCCCCCCCCGCGGCCGGAGGGGGGGGTGCCGCCGCCCGCCG